AGGCGCCCGCCACAACGCCCAGCTATTTTTTGGTTGCAGCCGTCATTGTTGTTTGGCGGGTCCGGGCTGGGGATTCGAACCCGCCACCTTAGGTGTATATGGCTGGCGCCTTAGCCGGTTGAGCTATAGGTGCCGAGCCTTCATCTGTATTTTCAACTGCCTGATGGCTATATCTGCCCTTGTGTTCTTCAGAAATCTGATACTGAATGTACAGAGAATGAAACTTGATCTTTTTCCTGCAGGTTGTTTTCAGCCAATTCACCTTCTCATGTTTCTTTCGTGTGCATTACTATTTAAATTAGGCTCTAAGCCTTCGATCTCTGACACACCCCATTATGAACTGGTGACCGAGCTTTTTCATTATACGTAGTAGATGGGGGGATGTGTAAGTAGTAATTTAAACGTTTTATGATTTTGCTTTTTTATATGATTTCAACTTTATAGAAAAGTTGACTAGTATATGGAATATATAGAATAGTAGAGAGAAATCTAAATATATTCCTTCCCAAATTCACATTTACATTTTTATTTTTCTTCCTCTACCTTTCTTCAAATATGTGTGTAATTTTTTTCTGAACCATTGGAAACTAATTGTAGATATGCTTCCTTTACTTACAAATACTTCAGTGTGAGGCTTGGTGCCCATTCCTCAGTGGTTAGGACACTGGCCACATGCACCAGGGCTGGCAGCTTCAAACCCGGCCCAGGCCTGATAAACAACAATGACAACAACAAAAAAACAGCCGGGTTTTGTGGTGGGCGCTTGTAGTCCCAGCTACTTGGGGGGCTGGCAAGAGAATCACTTAAGCCCAAGAGTTTGCGGTTGCTGTGGCATTCTGCTGAGGGTGACATAGTGAAACTCTGGCTCAAAGAAAAAAACAAAAAACTTCAGTGTGAATTTTCTAAGAATGGAAACATTTTCTTTTATAACTACAATACAGTGATCAAAATCAGGAAATTTAATATCAGTATGTTACTCTTATAATTTAGAGTCCATATTCAAATTTGGTTAGTCATCCCAATAATGTCTTTTATTGATTTAAAATGTTCTTTTTTTTTCTGGAATGTACTGGCAATTCATAGGCACAGTTGATTGTAGCACATTGTAATCTTTAATTCTTGAGCTCAGTCAGTCTTCCTGCCTTCCTAGTAGCTTGAGACTATTTTCTGCACTGGGCTTAAAAATGGTTTTTAAATGAGTGGATAGGACATTTCTAATGTGATATGAATTCACTTAGAATATAATACAAACAAGGTAAATCCTGGAAAACTTTAACATTTTTATTCTTGAATACTGTCGGAACAGCTTCCTATGCATTGTACCCACTTGGCTTAGTTCTGATAGGCATGTGTTGTTATAGTGAATTTATCTAGGAATAAGGGTTTTGGATAAGATCTTAGGAACCAATGTAGGAATGTGGTACTAGAGAACAATACTAGTAGTGCTAGCAGTCAGTCATGCAAGGAATGAACAGCTTCCCTTGTATAAGTAAAATTCTGAAAGTTAATTTTCCCTTCCATCCCCTATTTCTGGATATGTGGATACTTTGAATGGTTTAATGAACGTGGCTTTGAAATTTAGGATTCAAATGTCCTAGTCTCTTTGCCTGCATGATTGTGTATGCTTTAGTCTCTGGTGTAAAAGGTCATTACTTTGTTCTGCTTCACAGGGCCACTTTCTTGAGCATCCTTGCTAACTATACCTTCATCATCCTTCAGGAGTCCTGGAGGCCCCAGAGCTCAGTCTTGAGTTCTAGGATGGTACTTTGGCCCCAGCATTAACATGCTATGTCATTTCTCCAGTATCAAGTTTTAAAGTGACTAAACCAAATGTGATCCTCCATTGAAGCAACACGACTAACTGTATAGTGAAGGAAGTAGAAAGGAAATCTTTCCAGGTGAGTCAATGATGACTAGGCAAGTTGCAGTTGTTCAGTCAATGTTTACACCTCTGAAATGCTTCTAAGGACATTTTCTTACTACAGGTCTAGTCTTCGGAGTATCACTTGGTGTGAAAATTTTAAATACCTGATTGACATTTGCAGTCACTATTTTTTTCTGTTTCAGGACTCCTTTCTTCAGATTCTAGAGAAGCAGGTGCCCCTCTTAGCTCTATTCTATTCCGATGTCACACTTTATACTTCATTTTTATTGCCTCTATTGTGATTTTTCTCCTTGGTTCTCATACCCAGCATTACATCCTCCCACATGTAAGATTCCTCCTGCTAAGTCTTACATCATCTGATGTTTACATTCCTTTTTATTACTTACCGCTTTCTCTTTATTTCAGTGCCAAAATGCCTCAGAGTTCATATTACATTAGTATTCATGCTTCCTTTTTTTCTTCTTATCTACCTCCCCCATCATAGATTAACAAACTTCCTCTGCCTCCTTCCTCCCCTGCCTATGCATCTCTTTCTTAAGTTGCTGACACAGAAATCAGTGCTACTTTTCTGCTACATTGTGTTTGGGTGTATATGTGGATATGCCTAAGAGAGTGTATTTATTTTATTTTTTAAATATAATACACGAAATCCAGGTATGATAGCTCATGCCTATAATCCCAGTACTTTGGTATGCTGAGGAGGATCACTTGAAGCCAGGAATTTAAGACCAACTTGGGCAACATAGTGAGACCCCATTTCTAGAAACACACAAATATTTATATATACATAAAATACATGAACTTACATACATTTTTCTTTTGTGTGTGTGTGTGTGTTAAGAGTCTCAAGTTGTTGCCCTGGGTAAAGTGCTGTGGCATCATAGTTCAAACCTCCAACTCTTGGGCTCAAGCAATCCTCTTTTTTTTTTTTTTTTTGAGACAGATCCTCAAGCTGTCCCCCTGGGTAGAGTGCCATGGCGTAGCTCACAGCAACCTCCACCTCCTGGGCTCAAGCAAGTCTCCTGCCTCTGCCTCCCAAGTTGCTGGGACCACAGGCGCCCACCACGCCTGGCTACTTTTTTTTCTGTTGCAGCCATCATTGTTGTTTGGAGGGCCTGGGCTGGATTCGAACCTGCCACCTTAGGTGTATGTGGCTGGCGCCTTAGCCACTTGAGCCACAGGCACCGAGCCTCAAGCAATCCTCTTGCCTCAGTTTTTCTGTTTTTAGTAGAGATGGGGTCTTACTTTTGCTCAGGCTGGTCTTGTTTCTGAGCTCAAGCTATTCACCTGCCTTAGCCTCCCAGAGTGCTAGGAAGGTGGCCATAAATTTTTTTTAATAGTATGTGTAGCCAGGTGCCATGGCTCACACCTGTAATCCCAGCACTGTGGGAGGCTGAGGCAGGAGGATTGCTTGAGCTCAGGAGTTCGAGGCTTGTGTGAGCAAGAGTGAGACCCCGACTCATGAAAAAAATGGAAAAACTGAGCTGGGCACCAAGGCCAGCAGCTTCAGAGGCTGAGGCAGTAGGAATCTCGTAGCCCAAGTCTGAGGTTGCAGTGAGCTACACGCCATTGCATGCTGCTCCAGGGCAGTAGGTAGAACTGTCTTGACCAAAAAATAAAAAAAGTATGTGGCAGGCTCCATGCCTGTAGCTCAGTGAGTAGGGCGCCAGCCACATACACCGAGGCTGGCAGGTTCAAGCCTGGCCTGGACCTGCTAAACAACAGTGATAACTGCAACAAAAAAATAGCCAGGCATTGTAGGGGGCGCCTATAGTCTCATCTACTTGGGAGGCTAAGGCAAGAGAGTCACTTATGCCCAAGAGTTTGAGGTTGCTGTGAGCTGTGATACCACGGTACTCTACCGAGGGTGACATAGTGAGACTCTGTCTAAAAAAGAAAAAAAAAAAGTATATGGCAAAATAGTCTCTGACCTCTGATCCTTTGTTCTACAGTTCCTTCTCAAAGATGCAATGATTTAAGTTTCTCGTGTATCCTCCTTGCAGTGGTCTGTGAATAAACTGGCTTTTATATCTATGCTGCAAATATGTATATATAAGCCCTCATTTTTCCTTTTCATATACATGGTAGTATATATTCTGTATGTACATAGTTTTTTTCTTGGAGAGAATTCTTTATTAACTCATAATTTATTTAACCTGTCTCCTGTCAGGGGCCATTTAGGTTGTTTTAGGTGTGTTATTGAAGTCTTGCACTGTCAGAAACCAGAGCAACAGACATAACAAACATCTATGTTTGTGATTCAGACATAACAAATAGGTTCTTCTCAAATGGCAGAAGATGTCTCTGCCCACTTAGCTAGTAAAGATGCAAGTATGCATATTTGTTTATGTTGCTTCACAGAATTAGGCAGATATAATTACATAGTAATTTACTCTTGAGTGGAAATTCTGGGTCAGTATTGTATTTATAATTTGATTGAAATGGGCATATTATCCTCAAAAGAAGCAAACCCATTTACATTTCTGCCAACGTGATGTATTTATATATTCAACAATTATTGACTGAATGATATTTATTAAGTACAATTTCAGGTAGTAAGGAAAAGTCAGCTGTCAAAACAGTCAAAATTTCTTTCCCCTTAGGGCAGTCGTTCTCAACCTTCCTAATGCTGCTGCCCTTTAATACAGTTCCTGTGAGTTGTGACCCACAGGTTGAGAACTGCTGCCCTAGGGCAGGTGTCCTTAAACTGCGGCCTGTGGGCCACATGTGGCCCGCCTAGGACATTTATCCAGCCCATCAGGTGTTTTTGCCAGTGCTGCCTGTCCTGTTTAGCAGCCGACTCGTCCTGGGGCCCACAGTCTGGCCCTCCAGTGGTCTAAAGGACAGTGAACTGGCCCCCTGTTTAAAAAGTTTGAGGACCCCTGGCCTAGGGGCTTTGTTATAATTGGGAAAGATAGACTGTGAGTAAATAAGCAAAAAATACAAAGCATCATAAGGTGATAGGTGCTATGGAAAAAAGTAAAGCAAGGAAAACTGGCATAAGAAGGCCAAAAAGTATGAAAAGCCCTAAGGCAGGAGCTTGCTGTCCTGTTCAGGGAATAGTGATCAGAGCAGTGGGCTGGAGGAGAGTAAGCAAAAGGGAATGAGAATAGGTTTGGTTCAGTGGCAGGCCAAGTCACAGGCTTTGGTCTTGACGTGATTTGGGAGACCATCAGAGGGTTTTGACCAGAGAAGTAGTAAGATCTGAAGTATGTTTTGAAAGGAATAATTCGATTCACCTTATAAAGAATAAGATAGGCTCGGTGCCTGTGGCTCAAGTGGCTAAGGCACCAGCCACATACACCTAAGGTGGTGGGTTCGAATCCAGCCTGGGCCTGCCAAACAACAATGATGGCTGCAACCAAAAGATGACCGGGCGTTGTGGCGGGTGCCTGTGGTCCCAGCTACTGCTGAGGCTGGAGACTGGCTTGAGCCCAGGGGTTGGAGGTTGCTGTGAGCTGTGATGCCACAGCACTCTACCCAGGGGGACAGCTTGAGGCTCTATCTCAAACAAAAGAGAATAAGATACATAGGGGACCAAGGCTAGAAGATTAATAAGAAACCATTGGAGTCATCCAGGTGAGAAAGTGATGGTAGTTTAATTACAAGTAGTCAGATTCTTAAGATAGTTTTAAGGAGTAACTGATGGTAAGTGAGTGATGAGAGAAAAGGGAGTCACTGAGGACTCCAAGCTTTGGGAAGAAAATGGATTATTTAGAGAGGAAGAGTACAGGAATTTGAGAGATAGAGTGGGAGATTTCTCTTAGACTTGTTAATTGTGACATTTCTATTGATCACATGAGTAGACAATTACATATACAAGTCAGAAATTGAGGGAGATAGAAAATTGTGACCTAACCTGTCCTACTGTAAATAACAGGTAGCTTTATTCAAGGATGTTATGTGTGTTTCCTTATTAAGCCTTCCACTCCCTTCCATTCAAGGATACCAATGGGTCCATTAGACTTGCTTCAAGCAGCTTACATTCCTAGATTCCATTGTTGCAAACAAGGAACTATTATTCAGCCCTTGAGATTGTGCTTTTTTTTTCTTTTTGGAGAACACTGCAGGAGGGTTCTTTATCTGAACAGCAGTGACAGGTGCCCATTCACATCCTTTCTCATATGATGTTAGAATTATAACTACTACCTACTTTTATCAACAATTTTTTTGGGTGTTTTCACCTTCACAGAAATAAAAAGTGGGCAAAAATGTCTTCTATCATCTTAGAAGAAAGGATTTATTTGTTATATTTGAATCATTCCTCTTAGAATTCTCTGTCACTACTGCTTGCTTGGTGCTTTGATGACCTGTGATGTTGCTTTATCAGAGGTTTTACTCATCTTATGTTTATTTTGCCGCCCCATCCTCCTACTGGAAATGTCTCCTGGATCCCTTATAAATTCCTGGAATATCCATTTTAAGTTAGAAATAACTTGATAATGACTTTTTTTTTTTTTTTTGGAGATAGAGTCTCACTCTGCTACCCAGGATAGAGTGCCATGGTGTCATATTCACAGCAACCTCAAACTCCTGTCCTCAAGAGTTCCTCTTGCCTCAGCCCCCAGAGTAGCTGGGACTACAGGTGCTCACCACAATGCCTGGCTAGTTTTTCTATTTTTATTTTTAATTTTTTTGAGACAGAGCCTCAAGCTGTCCCCCTGGGTAGAGTGCCATGGCATCACAGCTCACAGCAACCTCCAACTCCTAGACTCAAGCGAGTCTACTGCCTCAGCCTCCCAAGTAGCCGGGAGCACAGGTGCCCGCCACAGCGTCTGGCTATTTTTTGGTTGCAGCCATCATTGTTTGGTGGGCCGGGGCTGGATTTGAACCCGCCACCTTAGATGTATTTGGATGGCGCCTTAGCCACTTGAGCCACAGGTGCCGAGCCAGCTTTTCTATTTTTAGTAGAGATGGGGTCTTGCTCTTGCTTAGGCTAGTCTCAAACTCCTGAGCTCAAGCAATCCACCTGCTTCTGCCTCCCAGAGTGCTAGGATTACAGGCGTGAGCCACCATGCCTGGCCATTTTCTGATTTTTGTCATTAAAGCCTCTACAGGAAATGACATTTGTCACTTTTGATCATTGGCCAACCAAGATACCTGTCCATGCCTGAGTTTGCTAGAAAGAGGTAACATGATCTTTCTGATCTTTACCTCATCTTCCCTTTTTTTCTCTCCTCCTTTATTGTCTTAGTTCTAAGAGAACTTTCTGTTTCTTCCTTGCAAAACTTTCTTAACTATATGACTGATAAAAAATTTTCTCACAACTGTCCATAATTGGTTTTAGTGTTTTGTCTTCTTTCCTTTTCTTTTTTTGTTTTCAACTTTCATGTTAGTGGTTATCCTCATATGTATATGGAATATTTGCTGGAAAATCATATTTAACAATAACTCACTAAAAAATGATCATAAGCTTTTTCTTTTTCTGGTGTCTTGAGTGCTTCTAGTTACCTGGTAGGCTTCAGTGGATACAAAGTAAAACCACTAATGGACCACTGTCTCCTTCCTGCAGAAGGATTATACTACCTTGTAAACTCAGCCATGGCCAGCTCCATTGTTTGGCGAATGAAATGTGAACATATGTGCCAGTAATCATTTTGGAGGGGCATCCCAATGATCACAAGCCTTTCCGTTTTTCCAGAGAAGGGTTCTTTCATATCCAACTCAATAGGTATATATATCTGGTTGCCAACAATTTTTTGGCCTCAGCTACAGAATGGTACTGGGGTTCCTATCGTATTATGTGTAGATCTAATCCTACTGATTTCAGTGTACAGCAGAACCTTTGTAAATTAACCACCCAAGGGATTGTAATAAACTGGTTAGCTTAGGGAGGTGGTGGACATGAGGAACTAGGCCTACTGTACTGATACGTACATGGGGTGCATGTCAGTCTGTGAAAATTAGGTCAACTTAAGGATATAGTTAGTGTAGGGAGATGGTCAACTATCAGGGTTCTCCTGTACTTACTTTCTTTCATTTCCTGAGTTTTTCTGATTTTTTGTGGCATAAACCACCTTGCTTAACATTGGCATCCCCATCTGTAGTACTAACTGCTTGCTGTGCACTAAGAAGTTTCCATATGTTTTCTGTTATTGAAAAATGTGTTAATGTTGGTTGTATACTGATGTCTACATATTCTCTCATCCTGTGAATTTGTACCATTTTCCCTTTTCTTGTCTTTTTTTTTTTTTTGCAGTTTTTGGCTGGGGCTGGGCTTGAACCTGCCACCTCTGGCATATGGGGCCGGTACCCTACTCCTTTGAGCCACAGGTGCTGCCCCCTTTACTTGTAATTTTAATGGCATTTTTAGAGGAAGTAGTTACTGGTTGATCTTTTGCCTTTTTTAGAGATTAGTGTTATTTCTCTTAGCATCTCTGCTGGACTTTTTTTTTTTTGTAGACACAGAGTCTCACTTTATTGCCCTTGGTAGAGTGGTGTGGCATCACAGTTCACAGCAACCTCCAACTCCTGGGCTTAAGCAGGAGAAGCTGGGATTACAGGCTCCCGCCTATTTTTTGGTTGCAGTTCAGCTGGTGCCGGGTTTGAACTTGCCACCTGTGGTACATGGGGCCGGCACCCTACTCACTGAGCCATAGGCGCCGCCCTGGACTTTTTCATTTTTATGTGGTCATCTTTTTATCCCATTCAGCAGGTCCTCACTGTTAGGCAATTTGTTGAATTCTGAAATGGAAAAGATTATTTTTCTAGAGCAATCTAAGCTTTGAATCCATGAATGTTAAAATCTTCCTAAATAACCTCCACAAGGTTTCTCGTCTCAAAGTTTAGTTGGGGATATTAATCATATTGATTCTTTTTCTACTGGGCTATGGACTGCCAGAGTTAATCGCCCAAAGCACAATCTGAAATGTTATTACTAGAAACATAATGGGAGAATTCCAAATAATAGTGATGATAACATGAAAGTACTATTTATTGAGTGCTTAACATGTGCTAGCCACAGTTCTCAGGATTTTATACATTAATGCCTTTAAATGATGATTCTTTGTACTCCATTTTAGAAGAAGCCTGAGAAGATGATGAACGGATAGGTGACAAGATTTGGGAGGCAAGTTGCATCCATCTTAAAGTGCAGACTGAAGAAAAAACAGTGAATATAAGCAAATTAGAAAAGTACTTCTGATCTCAGACTTTGTATCTTTTAAGGCAACACCTTTTTGAAGTTTTGAGTTTAAAAGACATTCAGAATTAATTATGAGAAAAGTTGTGTAGGAAAGAATTATCATTTTAATTAGCTTGGAAGTCCTCTGGCTTATTCTTTATGGTATTAATTCTCTTTAAGTGTAAATCAGTGTGGAAATGCCTTCAGTTTAAAAAGTTTGTACCCCCTCTTTTATTAGAGCATTCACACTGGAGAAAAACCCTATGAGTTTATTGAGTGTGGGGAAACTTACACTTGCATGTCACATCTCATTGAATGTAGAAGTCATGCTGAAGAGAAATACTGTCCTTCTAAGAAATATTGAAAAGCCTTTAGCTAGATGACAAATCTCTCTGAACAGCAAAAAATTCATGTTGGAGAGAAACCAGTGAATGCAGCAATACATCATTAAATATTAGAAAATATATACTGGAGAGAACGTTTTGAATATATTGAGTATGATAACATTTTCTCTCAAATCTTATCCTTTACTTTGCATTTGAAGGCCATACACAGAGAAGCCTTATAAATGTAAGAAATGTGGAAATATCTTCAGCCAAAAGTAAATTCTCATTCATCAAAAAATTCATACTGGAAAGAAACCTTGTGAATGTGGGCAAGCTTCCATTCAGATGTCACAACTCAGTCAGCAGAGAATTTATAGTGGGGAAAACCCCTTTGCTTGCAAGGTATGTGGGAAAGTCTTCAGCCACAAATCAAATCTCACTGAGCATGAGCATTTTCATACTAGAGAGAAACCCTTTGAATGCAATGAATGTGGAAAAGCCTTTAGCCAAAAGCAGTATGTCATTAAACATCAGAACACCCATACTGGAGAGAAGCTTTTTGAGTGTAATGAATGTGGAAAATCTTTCAGCCAGAAGGAAAACCTCCTTACCCATCAGAAAATTCACACTGGAGAGAAACCCTTTGAGTGTAAAGATTGTGGGAAAGCTTTCATTCAAAAGTCAAATCTCATCCGACACCAGAGAACTCACACAGGAGAGAAGCCCTTTGTGTGTAAGGAGTGTGGAAAAACCTTTAGTGGCAAATCAAACCTTACTGAGCATGAGAAAATCCATATTGGGGAGAAACCCTTTAAATGTAGTGAATGTGGAACAGCTTTTGGCCAGAAGAAGTACCTCATAAAACATCAAAACATTCACACTGGAGAGAAACCCTATGAATGTAATGAATGCGGAAAAGCCTTCTCTCAAAGAACATCGCTTATTGTACATGTGAGAATTCATTCAGGGGATAAACCTTATGAATGCAACGTGTGTGGAAAAGCCTTCTCTCAGAGTTCATCTCTTACTGTTCATGTGAGAAGCCATACAGGTGAGAAACCCTATGGTTGCAATGAATGTGGGAAAGCTTTCTCTCAATTCTCAACCCTTGCTCTGCATTTGAGAATACACACAGGTAAGAAGCCTTATCAATGTAGTGAATGTGGGAAAGCTTTTAGCCAGAAGTCACACCACATTAGACACCAGAAAATCCATACTCATTAAAAGTCCTGTGAACACCTTGAAAATGGCAAAGTTTTCATCAGGAATTTACAACTCAATAGTGAATCAGAAAGAATCACTCTGAAGTGAAAGCATCATGAATGAGGTAAACTAACAAATATTAAAAACTTAGGGGACACGAGGGAATTCATACCGAAGAGAAAGACATTTATATGATAAAAAGCCTACAAAAAAACCTATAGCAAAGGTAATACTGAAACTTTAGACACATTTCTACTAAAATGGAAATGAAACATAACTGTTAGCCATTGCTGTCATCTTAGATTGGAGATCTTCACCACTCTAATAAGAAAAATAAGTTGTAAGTATTGAAAGACAAATACAGATGATTATGATGAACTACAAATAAAAGAAGACTCTTGTATTAATTCAGAGCAGAAGAGATTCCAGAAAGATCTATGCATTTATTATTTGGGATATGATAGAAACAGCATCAGGTGAGGACATAAAGGGGACTATTTTAAAAAATGATTTGGAGGTGATTTGTTCTCCAAGAGGGAGAAAATAGACCATGAACTATCAACAAAAAATCCACGGAGATTAAAAACAGGAACATGAGAAGGCTATATTCTAAATGGTTATTACCTTGGGAAGTAGGGACACGTTCCTGTAACAGCTTCAAAACTGCTTAGCAATTCTGCTCATGAGTATGTATGCTCAGGAAATATGTACCAGGATATTAATCACAGCTTGGTATGAAGTACACAGAAATGGAACAAAATGGAAAATTCTTGACAGAATACTGTATATCTGTCAAATGCAACAAATGATATTAACATTTATTAACAGATCTGAAAAATGTTGAAGGGGAAATCAAGTTGCAGCATGAAATACAATACAATGATTATAAATTCTAATTAAAACTTCCTTCACAAAATTCAGTACTATATACTGGTAATGGATACATATATGTATGTAAATGTTTTTGAAATGATTTGGAAGGATACAGATGATGATGGTCACCGCTGTGTAGAGTCAAGAAGGGAAGGGAATGAGTGTGGGAGGAGGGAGGGTATTGGTTAAAGGGGTCTTCAGCTTTTTACATAAATAATTCATTTCTCTTTAAGAAGACTGCAAATATAACGATACTAGTTGATTCTGGATTGTGGTATATGGATATCTTGTCTTATCTTTTGTATTTTTCTGTATTTTTAAAATTTCTCAAAATTAATAAGAATGGGGAAGAGGATGGGAACACTGTACCTGTAGAAATCATGTTATAATGGATTCATTCCCAGTCAAATCCTAAGCTTTTTATAGAAAATATTTCTAAAATTTTATCACCAATGAGTGGATGGACTTGCTCTCTATGTAATATGAAATTATCTATTTTATTAAAATTAAAAAGACTGCATACTCCAAATCTGTCTTAATTTATTTTAACATGATGTACGTCATATCTTAATACTTGTAACATTTTGCAGCATATCATTTAGTCTTACAAATTTTTAAGAACTTTAACCCAAATTAAAGATAAATGCACAGGCTTCATATAATGGGTATTTCTCAGTGAAATTGATTTTGTAATGTCAGCTTTCTTGTCCTTTAAATTTCCCTAGGAAGCAATATACATATACAGAAACTTGTTTTTGATAATTTCATTTTTAAGAGGAAAATCCTGGCAGGGTGCTGTGGGAGGCCCAGGTCGATGGATTACCTAAGCCTGTAATCCCAGCACTCTGGGAGGCTCAGGTGGATGGATTACCTACCTGAGCTCACAGGCTCAAGACCAGCTTGAGCCAGAGTGAGATCTTATCTCTAAAAATAGCCGGGCATTGTGGTGGGCGCCTGTAGTCCCAGCTACTTAGGAGGCTAAGGCAGGAGAATTCTTAAGCCTGAGAGTTTGAGATTGCTGTGAGATGTGATGCCATGGTGCTCTACCAAGGGCAACAAAGTAAGAGTCTGCCTCAAAAAAAAAAAAAGTTAATTGTCCAGAATAAAGTTTAATCACTTCTCAGCCTTAAGGAAAAAAAAAAAAAAAAGGAAAATCGTTCATTTTTTCAGAACTTCCATAATTCAGTGACTTACACAACAACATGTGGATCTTTTTCTTTTTCTTTTTGAGATAGTCTCAAGCTATTGCCCCCAGTAGAGTGTAATGGCATCATAGCTCACAGCAACCTCAAACTCTTGGGCTGAAGTGATTCTCTTGCCTCAGTTTTTTGTTTTTAGTAGAGACTTGCTCTCACTTTTGCTCAAGTTGGTCTCAAGCTCATGACCTCAAGCAATCCACCTGTCTCAGCCTCCCAGAGTACTAGGATTACAGGTGTGAACCACTGTGCCTGGCCTGGATCTCAGATGTACCCTATGTGCTATATTTCATTCTTCCCACCGCTTGACAGACTTACCTTTTTTGTTTCTTTTAAAGACATGGAGAAAGGATAGGATGGGGATGAGGAAAGTGGCTCAGACCCTGGGCAGAATTCAATTTTATCAACCAGTCTTTTTTTCTTTTTCTTTTTTTTTTTTTT